TAAACACATCCTCTGAAAATTTTCTATTAAGGAAAGTAGTTTTTACATCAATTTTCCATATTTAAATATTTAATAGTTATGAAATGCTCCTATGATGATCGGTATCCTAATAGACTTTAAAAGAGAAATTAGTAAAAAAGTTTCATCATTGTTACACCATGAGTTTGTGTGTAACCATTTGTCACCAGTTTGTTTTTATATGTATGTGACTTGCCATCTATGTTGTTTTTTTTGAAGACTCATTTGCATCCAAATGTTTTATATTCGGGTGATTTATCAACCAAGTCTTGTACTTGATTATTATGCATGGATTATATCTTTTCTTCATAACCACATTCCATTTAGTAGATTCTAGGACGTCATGACTTCATGATAACTAGTATATTAATTTATCATCTACAAATGATTCATTACCATTAGATATGAGCAAACCATATCTTTCTAGTTTATGATATATTCTACTATACTACTGACGGATAATAGGTGATACTATATTTACGTTCGTTAATAACTCTTTTATGAGAGACTCAATAGGTTCTAGAACATCTTGTTGAGTTCAAATGTTAATGTTGGTTTCTTTCAAAGAATATGGAGAATTTATATTAAATTTATGTTTTATATTAAAATTGCATTTTACATTAAAAAATAAACGTGTTATATTAATATTTAGGGTACCGCAATATTTATCCAAAGCAAAAGCAAAATCAAATTTACATTTACCTTCTTCCTTATTTTTTGAGGATTAAATTACCGAAATAGTTACTATGGTTTGGTCGAATTCTTAGTTTTGGTTCCTAAATTTAAAATTTGATATGTTACATCATTGTGGTTTGTGAAAATTACATTGTTGGTCTTGGATCAATATAAAAAGATCAAATTACCCTTTCCTTCTTTTTTCTTTATATATATATATATATATATATATATATATATATATATATATATATATATATATATATATATATATATATATATATATATATATATATATATAAAACTATTTTTTTTAAAATCAATTATCTAAATTATATAAAATCATATTATTATTATTTATCTTTTGCTTTATTTATTTATCTTTACTTTTGTGTATTAAAAATCTTTTTATATTTTTGACGTTTTATTTTAATATATTTTTTAATGTTTTTTTTTTTGACGTTTTGTTCGTCAAATATAATTATTTAATGTTGTTTTTTATGTGTTTTTTGCTTACATCATTCACTTATATGTACGACTGTAAACTAACAGGATGTTCGGTGAACTGTTCGTAAATTGTTCGGCGGAAAGTTTGTTTATGTTGTTTATTTAATAAATGAACGAACATGAATAACAAATATTATTCATTTAGTTAAACGAAAAAACATGAACAATTGTCTCGTTCAATCATTTATGTTCGTGAACATTCATTTATGATGCTTGTTTACGTTAATTTATGTTCGTTCGTTTAATTTATTTATATTCATTTATGTTCACTTTTTTTTTATTATATTATCATATTATATGTTCTTTTATGTCCATATATGTTCAATTGTATTTATTTATTTTTGTTCATTTATGTTCGTTTAGTATAATAAGGTAATATAATAAAAAAAATTAAACATATATGAATATAAACATAAACGAACATATAATACGGACATAAACGAATATAAATGAACAACGATAAACAAACACAATGAAACATATATAAACATAAACGAAGATATAATATGGTAATATAATAAAAAATTAAACATAAATGAATATAAATAAATTAAACAAACGAACATAAATGAACGTAAACAAATATCATAAACGAACGTTCACGAACATAAATAAATAAACGAGACAACTGTTCATGTTCGTTCGTTTAACTAAACGAACGATAACTTTTGTTTACATTCGTTCATTTATTAAATAAACAAACATAAATAAATAAACATTAAAAATAATTATATTGGAGGAACAAAACTTCAAAAAAGAAACATTAAAAATATATTTAAATAAAACGTCAAAAACATTAAAAAAAAGTTTTAATCATAAAATCAAAGATAAATAAATAAAATAATAAATAAATAAATAAATAATATGATTTTCTATAATTTAGATAACTGATTTAAAAAATAAAAATAATTTTAGAAATCTTCCTTAATAAATGAAGGTTTTTTTTGCCACATGTCAATCTCTTATGAGTTTTGACACTTGTCATTTTGTGGTATTTTTGAAATAAATATTATCCACTTGTCAATTTTTGATTTGTTTAAGTTTTTAAAATTAAAGTCATATATTTATATATGTAAAGTATTAAATATAATCTATATATAATTAAATTGCAATGAATACATTTTTCCTTTCTTATTTTAAAGTTTTACATTAAAAAAATATTTACTGTTTACATTTTAATGTTTAATTTTTTTTAAATTAACCCGTATAATATACGGATCTCATACCTAGTCTTCTCTAATAAATGAATGTTTTTTTACACTTGTCACACTCTCATTCATTTTGACACATGCCATTTTGTGGTTATTTTGAATTAATTTTTATTCCATATGTAATTTTGTGGTTTTCCTATTTTATTAAATTGTATATGGTATTTAAATTTAATAATAAATGCATATCAATTTTATTAATGGATTTTCTTTATAATTTCAAAACTTTAAAATAAAATGTGATTAATTTGCTTTGATTATTTTATCTAAATGATTTGTTTAAATTTAGAAAAAAAAACACTTTAATTTTAGTAATTCAATATTTTTCTTATGTTTCTTATAAATTCAAATTTCTCAAATATTTATACATATTTAATTAATTTAAATATACCCATATAATACATGAGGCTCACACCTACTACTCCTTAATAAATGAAGGTTTTTTTTTTTTGCCACTTGTCAATCTCTCATGAGTTTTGACACGTGTCATTTTGTGGCAATTTTGAAATAAATATTATCCACTTATCAATTTTTGGTTTGTTTTAATTTTTAATTAAAGTCATATATTTATATATGTAAAGTATTAAATATCATATATATGGTATTAAATTATAATAAATACGTTTCCTTCTTTCTTATTTTAAAGTTGTAAATTAAAAAATATTTCATTTTTATATTTTATATTTAATCATTTTTTAAATTAACCCGTATAATATACGGGTCTCACACTTAGTAATATATATAGTAATTCTATTAAAGTAAAGATAAAAACAATAATATAGGTGTATAATTGTAAATTAAAAAAAATAATAATAAATGTAATTTGCGTGATCAAGAACGGGTACAATTTTTACAAACAAAAAAATATAACCTACTAAATTTGATCAATCCTCATTCCTCAGGGATCATTTCTATAATCTACTCCTTTTTTGTTTTTTTTGTTTTTTTTTTTTTTTTTTTTGCAGTAACAAAAGGGGTAAACGGAGGTGACGCACTTCCTGGACCCAACAGAACGGCAACTGTGAGGTGGCCCTGACTTTTTTACGGTACGTCATCCACTTGAAGGCAATTAGGTGGATGGGTGACCCGCTCCGGGATATTTAGTGGCTCTCCGTTTTCATTACGGCGTCGTTTATATCGTCCACGGCGTTTCAAGTTGCCGCCGGGGAATATTTACTCTGACAAACTCATTTTCCGGCCGTTGATGTCCGCTCAAAAACAAATCAATTTCTGCACCTAAATTAGATTGGACTTCTAATGAATATTGACCATTGGATTTGTCCATATCGACGGTGACTATACTTGATCTAATCTATATATACAAATTACAAAGTATTTAAAAAACGTAGAACGACAACTTCAAAACTGTAAACACTCTCATATTTTACACAAGTTAGACCATCATTGATTATCATCATTGTGAAATGTGATAGCATCATAAGGTGTAATCAAACCGGATTCAATTGAATACTGGCAAACTTGCAACTCGATTCGATTAAAAAACTTGAGCTCGAAACTCTGCTCGAGCCTTAATTTTCTAGCTCCTACTCGATTTAATAATTGAGACTTTTGAGCTTTGCTCGAGTCGACCTGATTAGCTAATAAAAAGATATAATTACATTAAATTGTGATACAAATATGATTAAGCTCTTGAGTTTTAATAAACTCTGTACTATAATATGAAAATATGAATAAAACAAATGATGAAAATGTTAATATAACTATGCTCGATCAAGCCTGTGAGTTTCATGAGCAGAGTATTCTAATACTCGAGCTCGGCTCAATGTTGTATTCCAGTATTTTCCGAGTTGGTCTCAAATATGTTACTAGATGGCTCAACTAGTTATACTCCTACTATCATTCACCGAGTTATCATTACATATAGTTAAGGGAATAAAATGTAAAGACCTAAAACAAAAGAGACTAAATTTTAAAATATTTACATCATCAAATAAACTCGTCAACTATGGCTCTCAACACCCGACCATGGTTAAATCTGACAAGAAACAGAGACAAATCGACTACAAGGAAGACGACGTTCTCTACAAATATTATACGATTTTTTTATTGTTTATAAAAATTGTTGTTGGTGAATGTCTGCTCCTTTTCATATATAAATAATAAAATCTTGAAGAATACATATATTCTGGAATCGCTGTGTTCTTTCCTTCTCACGTCCTCCATTTGTCACTTTTCTTGAATTTCTATAGACTCGTCTTTTTCATTCTTCGTTCCTTCTTTCCTTTTTGATGTTATTGTTGAATTCCATGTTGAATTGACTTTCAAATCAACGAAAGGGAACTGATATTAAGTTCTTTAATTGTGATAAGGAAATTTGACGACTATGGTTGTGAAATGAGATCGTGTTTCTTTTTTGGCGGGAATTATGTGGTAAGATTTACCTACTATTCTTCTTCTGGTTGATTGAGTAAAAGTGGTAAAAGAACTGAAAGCTATATCTGTCCGGAAATTGAATGCAGAGGTAGACATAGACTTTAGGGCTTTGATTTTAAGGAGGTTGCGTGTAAAGATTTACGAAATCATATTCATAGCTGTTGCTATTTGAAGTAAGGAAGATCTGTTTGGGGAAAAATGGATTCGAATCGTGAATCGATGGAATTGGTGCAAGAGCGTAGCATGGACACCGATAAGCTCAGCTACGAGATTTTTTCGATCCTCGAAAGCAAATTCTTATTTGGTTACGACGAATCGAAGCTTTGGAAACCTAAGCAAGTTTCTCCGGAAATATCTTTCACGCCGACGTCACTGGCGGTGGCTGATGACGGTGGTGTTCAATCTACGACGAACCAGAGAGGTAAAATCTGTGTGCTCTCGATTGATGGCGGAGGAATGCGGAGTATTCTAGCAGGTAAAGCCCTAGCTCATCTAGAGAACGCGTTGAAAACGAAATCCGGCAATCCGAACGCGAGAATCGCCGATTATATCGATGTCGCCGCTGGCACAGGTGTCGGAGGTGTGTTCACGGCGATGCTATTCGGAAGCAAAAACCAGAGTGTTCCGATTTTCAAAGCGGAGGACACGTGGAGGTTTCTGGCGGAGCAAGGGAAACGGTTGTATCATCAGAAATCGAGTTCCACCGGCGGCGGCGTTGGAGGTTTATTGAAAAGGATTTTCCGCGGCGGAGGCGGAGGCGGTGACGGAGGGATAAACCATGCCACGGCAGCATTTGAAAACGCAATGAAAGAAGCATTCGTGGTCAACGGTGAGAGTTTGACCTTAAAAGACACGTTGAAGCCGGTTTTAATCCCCTGCTACGACCTCTCCAGCTCAGCTCCGTTTCTCTTCTCCCGAGCGGACGCCATGGAAACAGACAGCTTCAACTTCCGTCTATGGGAGGTCTGCCGCGCCACGTCAGCTGAACCGGACTTATTCCAACCTGTCCCAATGAACTCCGTCGATGGAAAAACCCGATGTACTGCAGTTGACGGCGGTTTAGCCATGAGCAACCCCACAGCGGCGGCGATCACCCACGTGTTACATAATAAGCAGGAATTTCCATTCGTGCGCGGGGTGGAGGACCTTTTGGTACTTTCACTGGGCACCAGTCAACTTCATGAAGGGAATTATGATTACAATCAAGTCAAAGGGTGGAAGGCTAAAGATTGGGCTCGACCCATGGCTCGAATTTCCGGTGATAGCTCCGCCGACATGGTGGACCATGCCGTCGCCATGGCCTTCGGTCAGAGCCGGTGTAGTAACTACGTCCGTATCCAGGTATCTTCCCACTTCCATAGTTTCATATCCAATTATTCATGGGTGTTTCACTTTCCACTTTAACATTTTTTTTTTTAAATATAAACTTATGTAAAGTAAAAGATGTTAGTATATAATGATTTTACACTTCCCTTAACAAAATGACTTATTATTATTATTAATCACGTATTCACGTTTCAGAATTGTCTTGATCTATTTTTTCGTTGTGTTTATCTAAATATAAATTATATTAATTAAGAATAGTATAATCATAAAAGTCTACTACACGTGCAAAAAAAAAAAAAATTACAAGGGCAATACAAGGTTGATGGAGAAAACATGTTGTTGGTAGTCAATCACTATATATAAATAGGTAAATACCGATTTGTATGGTACGAAAATAGTGACGTATTTATATTTTGATAAAACTTTCGGTTTATTTTTTTAAAATATTTTTTTATTGGTTGAATTTGATGTCAATGTCAACATGTCATTAAAATCTTGGAAAGTGGAATACATCTGATGAAAAAGATGGTATTTTTAACTCATTTCCATATGTAATTGAGAGTTGGCAAGCGATTAAAATGGTTTTCTTTACTTTGGAAAGGGAATATACCCATATGGGTATGGAAAATGATGTGGATTTCTTTTTAGATAAAATCCGTTTGTACTAAAATATAATTTCTTTTTGTTTCATATTGTTACCAATATAAATAAGACTTTTTTCATATAATGTTTTATATAATTTTGATTAAATTTTTTATTTCATAGGCAAACGGGTTCACCATGGGTCCTCAAAGGGCCAATATTGATGCGGATCCTTGTCCCAACGATGCTAATGTACTTATTGGAATAGCTGATGAGATGTTGAAACAGAAAAACGTGGAATCAGTATTGTTTGGGGGTAAAAGGATCGGAGAGCAGACTAATTTTGAGAAACTGGATTGGTTTGCCGAAGAGGTCGTGTTAGAGCATCAGAGAAGGAGTTGTTGCGTTGCACCTAATGTTGCATTTAAGCAACCTACTTTCAAACAAACATAATCGCTTCATCATTTAAAAAAGTTTGTGAGGGCTATGGACCGAATATTTTAAAAACATTGGGGACTGGTTTTGGAAATAATTGTTTGCTTGTATATTTGAATTTTTCTAAAAGTCAAAATGATGTTTTTATTGAAAAACCGAAATTTTAAAGTCGGTTTTTTTAATATAAAAATCGAATCACACCAAAAAGTCTAAAACAATGTCACCATATTATTAAAAAACACGAAGGTTTCATTATGTGTATATTGTTATATTTTTTTTAAGAACGGTCTAATCTTAAATTACTATATATGTACATCACATCTCAATTAAAAAAAGTCACTCATTACTGCTAGAACAAAGACCTTTTGATTTGTATATAGTTATATAATATCCAACTGTTATAGAAATAAAGTTAGTATCTCATTTTTACAAGACTAGACTCATAGACATGTCATTGTTGTAGTTACATATTTTTAGTTGTGTAACTTTTTTGTTTTCATAGTCTTATTTTTATTACAAAACGTTTTCACAATAAAATACAATATCAACATAGATTTTATTGATTTAAATATCATATACAATAGAAGGACTGATGGATGTATCATTACGAAAAGGACTGTGGATAAGAAAGAGATTAAACATACTTAAAATTGAAAGTTTGGTCCTTATGTATGTCAAAAATTAAATATTTGGTCTAAATTTTTTTGAAGTTACACAAGGTCCATAATGTTTTATTTGTTGTGAATTTTGAACAAAATTATTTGAAAACATTTAAAATACCGAATTTGTAATTTTAATCTAGTTTTTTTTAATTATTTTCTTTACAACAATTAAAAAAAGAAAATGCCTCTCATTTAAATTCCTTCCCGGACCAAAATTACAACAAATTTTTTATTTTGGCCCACTAATGCAACTCTAAATCATTTTGGATCAAACATCACATTTTTAAGATACCACATGGACCAAACTTGCAATTCCAAGGTTTTAGTTTCCAACTTTTTCTCGTATTCCATCTTTAAATAAACCTATGTTCATTGGCCTTGCTTTATATTTATACTAAATTCTCACACATTGCACAAAATTTAATTATATAGCTTAAATATTAGAATTATATCCCATTTAAAATAATTTAAGAGCATTTGGTTCTTAGGTTGTTGTATTAGATATTACACTTTAATATATTTTTAATGTCCCTTACAAAAAAAAAATGGTGTTCATGCTTTGAATATGACATGATATCCTATAATGTTTAGGATCAAACTTATTATGGATGAAGTTTATGGCTCAAATTTATCTTTTTCATTGGATCTTTAATTTGACCTTGTGTATTTAATTAAAATATGTTATCAATTCGAGGTATATTAAAAATGTGACTGTTGATATGTGTATTTCTATGGATGAATTAGTTGTAAAAAAATATAGTATGAAAAGAAATTTAAAGAATTGTTTTATAATTAGACTTTAATGACCTTAGGTACTATTTATGCAGGTCAAATTAGATTTAAATAATGTTGAACATTTAAAGATTATTAAGTGGTCTAGTTGGTAAATCATAATTGATAGTATTTGGATAAATAATAAATTCCTTATTTACTTAAATATGTTGTTTGTAGAAATTTTATTTTAAAAAAATTGAATAAAATAAATAGTACATGAAGATATGAAATGGATGTGTTCATGTATTCATATAAGAAATATACAATTTTGCATCAAATCTAGTTTTTCTAAGAATAAACATTTTCAAATATAACTAATGCATGATTGGATATCTATTTTAGAAGGTTTGATAATTTACAATTTTACATATCAATATATCATATATTTAAATTTAAGATCGCATATTTTATAAGCTTTTAATGTCAACTTTTGTATTTTTGTCCATATTAGGATGATATTCGATAGTTATTTAAAGCAAATAATATTTTGGTAGATGTATTATATATAATATATGTTTTCCTCTTTATTATATAACTAGATTATAACCTGCATTAAACGCGGTTAACGTATAAAAAGCATACAAATGTCTACAGATATTACATAATAATTATAAAAAAAAATTATAGTAATGGTATTATTGAAATGTGTAGAACGACCTTTTGTATACAATATTTTTTATTTTATTAGTTGAATGACCTTCTTCATTACATATGGTTATGATATTGTTATATAAACATAAGTATTCTAATTAGACGTTCATTCCATAATAATATTACTTAATTTGAGTCTATATTGATAACCAATATACCGTTTTTTTTCACTGAATTAAATATTGACAACTATTTCATTTATTCAAATAAAGTCATAGAGTATAATTTATGAAATGTTAAATGTTATATGGATTTAATTTTAGTATATCAACAATGAAAATTCTCTTCTAAATCATGATTGATTTATTTTAAATTGATTATGAATATATGTGCTAACTTTTATGTTTGTTCTAATTTATTTGGTGTTCACAAGAATTTTACATTAGTTTTGGTACAACTCAGAATAATTTTAGTATATCAACAATGTAATTTAGTATATCTTTCAACAATATGAAATATCAAATAATGTCATTTCATTACTATTGTGATAATTTAGTTTATATATTGCATTTTTACTAATCTTAACAATCTTATTTTTTTTCTAATAACCGTAGTGTTTTTACTAATTGTATTTATAAATCTCCTAATATATTATAAATTTTATCTTACTTTCTAATTTTTCATAACTATACTATTTTCAAGATTTGCTGTCTTAATAGTTTTTTTAGTCTATAATTTTATATTTCATTGTACAACATTATCGTTTGTATGTATTCTGAATTTTTATTTTAAAATTGCTTAATGTTTATATCTTGATATTTTTTTTAATAAACTCGTGTAATAATTATGGAATATATATCTAGTTTGAATTAATATTTACTTCATTCACTAAATTAAATTCCTTATTAAACGAATATATTTTGAAAAATAATAATTATAATGTGGCAACATTATCTAAGACATAAGTGATTGATATACTTTTAAAGGGAAAAAATCAGGATCATTAAAAAGATTTATATAAAGAAAATACAAATTTAATTTGGATGAAATTATGGATGAAATTACTGACGGAAATTATTTTGGAGGGAATAGTATTTTGTAAAGTATAATACTATGACAAAATTCGAAATATGTATATTGTTCTGTAAATTTATAAATTTTATTGTTACTATATAAACATAAAACATAGTAGGTTGGTATGTTAAAAGAAAAAAAAAAAATTCAATGTATGTAACTAAAAAATGGAATTTGAATATGAAAATTTAAAACTTAAAAGTATGAAGACATGTTATAAAAAAATGATTGAAAGAGCTCTAACCACATTTGACCAATTTGTTAGTGAGAAGATCATAAATGGATCATTTGATAATGATCAACGAATTATTTCCTGTATGAAATAGTGGATTCGAAATGTTTTAAGTAATGCTAAAATAAATATGTATATTGAAGTGTTTTAAGTAATGCTAAAATAAACATGTATATTGAACTGTAGATGAACATGTCATTTTCATGCAAACGACATGTTTTATGGTATCATCTAGAAAAAAACTTTAGAAAATAAAATTTTTTAAGCACATATACTTAACTTATATCCTGATCAACAAGGTTCATCAATTGTTTCTCCCTTGAATTTTTAATAATCATTTTCATGAGATTAGTCGACGCAACCCGACTAAGAAAATCTGGAACAAAAATAAATAAATAGCGGTTGTATTATAAATGGGTAATACAATAAATATTTACGTGTAGATAATGTAGAATGTTAAAATAAAATATTACCAAATGCAACACGAGTGTCGATTCCTGATTATCAAATACTGGAAAAATCAAAAAATCATAAGGATCCACCATGACCATAGTTGTCAACAAAATTGTTTCCATATTTAATTTCAAATGATGCATAAATAGATTATATATATATATATATATATATATATATATATATATATATATATATATATATATATATATATATATATATATTATTTACTATTAAATCAACCTAAAAATGTAATAGGATCAAACCAAAATATTTTAAAATCATACTAAAGTTAACTGAATTCTTATGACATAATAATAATAATAATAAAAATAATAATAATAATAATAATCATAATCACCTCTAATATATAAAAATAATATTTTTCTAAATAGTGTCAATTCCAAAGATAGTTAATTTCTGTTTTGTTAAAGGTGTGTAATATCTTTTCCTCTTTATTTGAAAAGTTTCAGAAAAGTAGTTAACCAATTTCATGTAATTTGTGACAAAGAAAATCGAAATATATGAATACATATATTTGATATAGGAACAAAAAAATAATCAAAAAAATATAAAAAGCAAAAGAAGGTGCTGATCTTCTATTGCACAACAATGGAGCTTTGAAACAAAGAATGATGATGGAAGTTATAAACAATAAGAATGATGTTGTAGGAGAATGTTTGAAGAAAAGAAACGATTGAAAATACGTTTGAGCCGCGAATTCAATGATGAATCGTATATGTATGTGATAATTTAAATCTGATTTTTTTGTATTAATGGTTTCCTAATAAAAATGGATTTTTGATATTAATGGTTTACTAATATAAACATATTTATATTAATGGTTGATATTAATGCCTTAATTAAAATGATTTGTTAATAATATGTTCTTAAAGCTGATCATATTAAAACCTTTATAAGAGGAAATTCAAGATTTAAAATATGGAAATATTTTATTGGAATTATATACATTCCATTTTAAAGGATGTAAGTTAATTTTGTTTAATAATTGGAAAACTTTTCTTGGAATTAAATACATTCCATTTGTGGAAGATGATGTTAGTAATTTGATCTAAGGGTAGAAGACATAGGATTGAAATAAAATCAATGGCCCAGATTGTTGTATCAATCCGGGAAATCAACAAATGATAAAAGTCATAGGCGTACAAAGCCGTAAAGCTGAGAATAAGAAATGGAAGTGTCAAGCCTAAAAGGAGCGCAAGCGATCCTAAAGACTTGCCATGCAACATCAACAAATGGAGACCTCTGCCACTTCAGCATCGGTCAAATAATATGAAGGAAAACTCCCGAAGTGTAACAAGTGTAGCTTCCATCATAATGGAGCTTACCGTGAAATGCAATGCTGCAATTGCAACAGAATAGGGCACCTTGCTCGTGGTTGTGGAGCACCAACACAACCCATCTCCCAAGTCCCTAGCACCAGAGTCAACCAAGCTTGCTATGGTTGCGGTGAAATCGGACACTTTAAATGGGATTGCCCCAGAAGGAGGAACAACGAAAGCACTCGAGTCTGCATCACTCCGACCCTGCACACCACTTCAACCACCGATGTTGGTGTAAGCCATATATGTAATATATGCGGTGAGATAGGACACCTCAAGAAGAATTGTCCAATAACAAAGAACTCGAGCGC